TCTCTGATCAGAAAACAAACAAACAAACAAACCCAAAAAAGCAGTGATTTGGGTTCCCTGTCTGGGTGTTTTATAATGAGAGCATTTAGACTCTTGGGGTATTGTCTTCCCAAGCATATAGCTTGCCTTCTTGTCAGACCATCAAATGCCCTTCCCTGGGCGTTCCAGACTGACCTTTGTGTTTCTGTCTTAGGAGCAGGCTTCTGGCAGTGATACCTGGCATTGCAAAATCCATCCCTGAGCCTTTGTTTAATGCCAGAGATCTCAAATGCTTTCTGATTCTGGAGAAGTGCCAAGCTGTACTCATGGATTAGGAGGCCATGGAAGGACTCCCCTCCGCCCCATATCTAATAAGCCTAATAGAAGCTGTCATTTCAAATGAATGATTCATTTATACTGTTGGAAGGAGTCCAGGGATGTTTGGGGTTCCCTTTTTAGCCTATCAGGTTCTGAGCTATGACTTTTGTAGGAATAGTGTAGTAGTGTAGTCACTACATTGTTACTTGTGCTGCTTTGCAGTGAGTTTCTGAGAAGTTCGAGTCTGTTCCTTTTGCTGATCTCTGGGGTCATGGCTGCAGGCTGGTTTACTTGTGGCATTTTCTCATTTGTCTTTTGTGTCAGACTTTAGTGGGAAATATGAGGTTTTGTGCACCATTTAGATTGATAATCAGCTTAAATGCTTTCAAGTGTTCTGGAGTACATGACTAAGAATGTGGATGATGAGCCCATAGTGTTGTGCTGAGATTTCTCAAGTCCCCCCTAAAACGTTGATGTGAATACTTTTACTCTGAGCTACAGGGTGATGTGAAACTGTGGACATTCTTAAAAAGTCCACAGTGCTCTTTGCTCTACCTTTTCTTGTGACGGTCTATGGTTAGGTGATGAGAGCAGTTGTGTCCAGAAGTGAGCAGAGCATCGCCCAGAACAAGAAAGGTCTTTTAAAAGATTTGAGATTCTGAGCCCGTGCCTCTGGTTGTAGCGCCAGCCCCCAGTCCTCCCAGGACTGGCTGGGAGTGGAGGACTCCCCGCTCCTCCCAGTCTGTTCACAGGGACTTGCTTCTGGTGATACAGAGGGCACACGGTGCCAGCCATAACACTGAGTAATACTGGGAGGTGCCTCTTAGAACAAACAATGTGGGTGAGCTTCACAGAGAGGGAATACCTCTGGCTTGACATTTAAATTACTGAATTATTTAAATGAGTGTCAATTAGGTGGAGTAGACTTGCTGCTTTCTGCCAGGGCACTTCCTAGTTATTTGCACAGGCAAGTGTAAAATACTTCATGTCAGATATGGCGCTTCCTGTCTGTGTTGTCGAAAGTCACAGAAGGTGACTGTCCAGGCCTCGGTGTACCTCAGTACGTACTGAATTCACATCACTGTCTGAGAGATTACACTCCTACCCCGGGCCCTACAAGGGATTTTGTGATAATTCTTGCATCCTGTGTGCCCCCCCAGCCCCACTCCAAATAAAGTATCACAGGCCCACACATGTTATGGTTATTCCTAAATTTTTGATCAGACTAAAAGAGTGAGTCACAGCCATTTTGGGGCCTGCTGTGTGCTCTTAGAATTGTGGATATTAAGATCTGAAAATGTTACCACCTTGCTTTTAACCTTCCTGGTTGATTTAGTAATCCCGGCTCAGAAATCTTTCTGGCATTTCTTCGACTAATCCACACATGTCGAATGAAACTGCCAAAGTAGCAGTTCATGAGTGTGTGTGTGCCTGCAGGCATGTGTGTGCTGCGTGTGGTCATTCTGATATACTTAGAATTGGGGGTCTTCATTCATCTTTGGTGGTATATAAAAAAATCGATTCATGAAGGGCTCTGCTAATTAGTTATATGGAAATGTACAAATTAGGAAGGTTGAATGTTGGTGAGAAGCAAAATTGGAAGTGAAGCTGGTGAAGGTTTTGTATTTTTCCCATTAGCTAACCCCTGGACTGAGCTCATGGGCCCTCAGAGCAGAGATTAATTTAACATCACATATCATTAATAACCATCTTTCTCCTCCTTTTTTCTTTTTCTGGATTGTGGAGGTGAGGATATGAAAACTCTAGTTTTTGATACCTTAAAAAGAATGACCTATTTAAAAGTAGCCAACTCGTGGCCATCTGTATACAACTAGGGGAAGAATATAAAGATTCAAGGAGAGTGTTTAATAAATGAATGAATCCCTTTGACTTAGTTTATGATCCCCACAGGATAAGCTCTGATTACAGTTTATGACCCGCGATGCCGGTGTGCGCTGCATAGTTGGGTGTGGTGAGTTGACTTTTACTGAAGATGGTATTTACCTGAAGGTGCTCAGTGCTGGCAAAATTCTTTCAGTTACATTCCAAACATCTGTCAGACTGTCCCCACATCCTGTCAAAAGATAGGGACCTCGGAAGGGCAGTCCACACCTTCTGTCTGTGGAGCAGGGTTCAGTTTGGACTCTGGTTATTTATTTATTTATTTATTTATTTATTTATTATTATTTATTTATTGTTTATTTATTTATTTATTTTTAAGGAGGCTCTACCCCCTACTTGGGGCTTGAACTCGTGACCCCAAGATCAAGAGTTGCACGTTCCACCACTGAGCCAGCCAGGCACCCCAAGCACTCTAATTTTAAAAAGCAGTGTTCAGTCGGAGAGCACGTGAATTATCGTTATTTTTTAATTTAAATTTGACATTTTAAATTATAACCACAAGGTGTCCTCAATTCTTTTGTAACTGGACTATTTCCATAGGATTAGTGATGAGCGAGGTCTCTGTTGTCTGGCGTTACCAGTTTGTTGTTGCTCCTGCTGGACCGTAGGCGCAGCCAGTTAAGGGATCCACACTCCTTGGTCCATTATCAGTCCACAAACAGCTACTCTCTTACCTTATTTTCATTTTACCCCTTCATCCTTACACTGACCCGTCAGCCCCAACCCAGTGTCAGGAGACACAACCTCTTTAATAATAAGGTGTTAGTGTGTGTCTTTGGATATCTATGACCTTTGAAAATATTTAGGATTTTAAAATATATGTTCGTGTTTCAAATTTTCACACATGCATTCTTGCACAGTTTTAAAATACGGTATTTTAAATTCCCTGCTGTAGATCACAAACAAATCAACATGACACCATTAACTCTCTCCCCCTTTTACCCTGCCTATCCATTTTCCTCCAAAGAATCATCACCTGTTGGGCAGCATAGTTGGCAACCCTCAGCCCAATTCTGTGCCATTCAAGAGTGGCAAAGAGTCTAGACTCCCTAGAAATATTATCTTTCAACTCACTTTTGGCAAGTGTAAACTTTTTGCGGGATTATGTCAACAGATATATATGTTTCTCATCCTCATAGAAATAGATTGGTGCTGGAGTTTCTCTAGGCAGGGAAAATAAAGACTATCTTTTGGCTCATTAAAATTTTTGCTCATTAAAAATGTCTGAGGCTCTTGATTCTCGGGGTGAGACTGGTGACATACATACACTGTCAGCGGCTATTTTGGATTTTCTGCTTTCAGGCATGTCTTTGCTCTTGGATGAGCCCCTTGTGGTTTTCAAAAGAACTAGCAAGTCAATTATAAATAGAAGGCTTGTGTCTGTGTGTCTGCGTGCACTTACTCTGTGGGATGAGGCACCCACATTACAGTGGGTAGTGAACTATTTTTCACTTCTTTGAAGAGGGAAGAAGAAAGATTAAGAACACTTTTCTCTTTTTGAGATAACCCACGTCTCTACACACACCCACACAAATCTGTGTAAATGAACTTGACATTTTCAAAGACCTTACCTTAAGGTCTCCTCTTGAAAGCACAGCCACCCGACCTGTTATTTTAAGAAAGAAGCAGTTATCTCACAGACCTGCTACAGGGGGTTCAAGAATTAGAAGGCAGTCAGTCTGTGCCATAGACCTTCGGAGGGAGCTTCTAAAAGCTGAATTTTTTTTTAATGTGAGCGTTGCTTCAGAACCTCTAGGACTTGGCTGTTTACATTCTGTCTTCACTTTCCTTCCCTACTAGTGCAAACTGTTGGGACCAGCAAGTATGAACTGATCATCCTCACAAGGGAAGGGAAAAGAAAGAGCAGAGTGGTTTGAAAAATTAGATCACAAATGAGTGTTTCCTGAAGAAGTTAATTAGGCGGTCTGATTAGGTGTGCTTCACTGATGGATGATACATTTCTGCCTCTTTCTCTCGTACCTTGGACCTACTAGGTGTTGACTGTTCCTGTGGTCCTACCTGTTACCTTACTGTTAAAACATTGTTCTGTTCTTTTTGTCTTCTTGTACCCTCGTCTTTAATGATCGGTGCCAATTTTTTTCTGCCATTAAAAAATGTGTAAGCCGCTATGAATTTCCATTGTACTCAACATGAAAACCTCAGTGTTACTCCTATTGAAAAATTAGGCATCTAGCTGCAAATATTGGTAAGAGATATTTGTAATTATAGGCTGTATCCTTGGGAACCCTCGATTATACTGATATATTATAGACAATGGCAGGAACACCAGCATCCCTTGTATTACTAGTTGATGGATTAGTATGGAGTTAGCAGGGACTGGTATTAACAATTGCCATGTATTTAGGAGCCTTTAAAAAAATCCTATAAAATAAAGGTGATGAACATTATGTTCTGGAATAATATTTTATTTTGATGCAAGAAAATTGGGATGAGAACCCATCAGGCTGAAGATAATGTGAAAACCACAGTGGGGGAAGTTCAATGTCAGAAGCCTTGCAGAATGATAACCATTCTTTGGCCTGGTATGATCTAAAAGAGTACACAGCTTGTATAAATGTACTCATATATTGAAAGGTGATGGTTATTTGGTGGTTGGTTGATCAAGTGAAAGGTATGAGATAACAAAATGTGCACCTCACGGCTAGTGATGATGCTTGGCCTGACTTTCTATTTGGTAAATGTGTTGAAATGGTCTTGGAGAAACTGTCTTGTTCCCCTAATGAGAGTAAAACCTACAGAGTGATATTTTTTTTTTTTTGCTTCGTCTTGCTTCTTTGCAGATGAGAAGCCCAAGGTAAACCCCAAACTTTACATGTGTGTGTGTGAAGGCCTCTCCTGTGGGAACGAGGACCATTGTGAAGGCCAGCAGTGCTTTTCCTCATTGAGCATAAACGATGGCTTCCATGTCTACCAGAAAGGCTGCTTCCAGGTCTACGAGCAGGGGAAGATGACCTGTAAGACCCCACCATCACCTGGCCAAGCTGTGGAGTGCTGCCAAGGGGACTGGTGTAACAGGAACATCACGGCCCAGCTGCCCACTAAAGGTTCCCGTTGACTTTTCTATTGCTGGATCAAGGGTTTCTGTTGGTGCTGTTCTTATTCTGTGGGGGTTAAAGATGGAGGTAGTCACAAGGCTTTCTTCCTACTTTTTAAACTAGAGGCCATGGGTGACAAAGAAAGGTAGCTCTAGGTGAGGAAGGAAAAGGCATGGCCTTTTGGAGTCTAAAAGGAGGATAAATACCTTTGGGTAAGTGAGCAAGGTAATGGCCATCTGGGAGAGACGGCTTGCTTGGCTGACTAGATCATGAGCATGTGAATAGCTTCTTTTTCCATCGAGGAACCATGATGTCATAACTTCTGAAACAGTTCTGCTTGGTAAATACTCATCTCTATATTGGGTGTGTGGGAAGGAAAATGGGACGGAAGACTCTGGTGGCTGAGTGGAATATGTTTCCTTCCTCATGAGGAAAGAAACAAAGCCTCGCTGACCTTTGTTCCCATATCTGATTTCCCAGTGAACCATCACTGAAGCTTGAAGCTGGGTAAGATTTCACATGAACCTTGTAGTTTATGTGGAATCTGTGTTGTATTAGATGGATTCCATATCTAGTGGAAAATAGTCTTCCTCTGAAACCATTTCCCCATACAATGAGCCCTAATTTGCTGCCTCAAAGTCACTACAAATATTAATGTTCGTTGGTGTTTGTAGACTCACTCCAAGCCAAAGTTAATTCTCTTAACCTATAGAACATTTTAATAGGCATAATTACTTAATTTTGGCCTCGCAAAAGAATAAACAGACCAAAAAAGTGGAGTGAAAAGGCTACTAGGATTGTCCACTGCCAGAAATGTCAACTAGCAGAAGAGACAGAAAAATGAAAAAGGAAAAAAACTGATACAAGATTATGCTCTGCAGTGTTTCAGTTATGGTGATGACCTTAGGCATATGTTAATTCTGATATGCAAATATCATTGAATAATAAAAGAAGGTATTTAAAAGAGAGATTAAGTATTTAAATGGCTAAAACTAAAAGAGTCCCGGATGGAATAAACTTTACTCTTAACCTTTGTGGATTAAATTGTAATTATTGGAGGGGATGGACATGAAGAAATATCTGCACTCACACAAAAGTAAGACCTATAGTGCGGAAAGTTCCTAATCTGCCGCACAATCTGCAAGACTGAGTTGTAATAGAAAATTTATTTTCTTTACTTAAGGAATTTCTAATTCAATTAGGGAGACACCATATTTATAATTTAATGTTGTATATAATTAGTTTTACACTTTATCGTACAAATGACACGTACCGTGGAGTATTATGTGCCAAGTCGTTGATTAATTTGGATTTGGAAAGTTAAAAGAAATGTAGAAAGGATGTCAGGCTTGTGCTTGGATTGTGGAAGGAGGCAGGAATGTGGAAAAGGCCTATGTGGGGAAAAACAGGGCTTGGTGACATCATGTCGTTAGAGGTCAGACATTCAGAGATGATTATTGTTTGGAGACCTTTCAGTTATGAACTATCACTATCCAACCAAGGAATTTTTTTATTTAGATCGCTAGGCAAGTAGCAAGTCTTTGTATTTGCCGGAGTGGTATGCAAGTGTTGAAGTGAATGCAGGGATGTTTGAATGGGTAATGTGATAATGCCGAGCGAGGGGGTGAATGAGTGATTAGGCGAGTGAGTGAATCAGTGAATGCGGGTTTCAAGTGAGTGAATATTGAATAAGTGAGTAAAAGAACATGAATGAATGGGTTCCTAGGCAGAAATCGTGATGTGAAAAGATCAATGAGAATTCAGTGGTAGACATCCAAGATACACTGAGGAGAGAGACCACAGATTGGGTAATTTGTTTTTAACTCAGCACTTTCTCATAGGAATATTACATCATCATCTCTGTCTAGAAGGGCTAAGGATAAAACATTTGTACGGATCAAGTCTGCATTAGTAACAGTAGCGCCAGAGATTTGTGTAGTACTTCATATTTTGAAAGTACTTATGCATACGTATGTGAATTATATGGTTGGTTCTCAGTGGATTTTTTTCAAACTCTGGTTGTGCCTAAATGAATAATGGTTCAAATGACCAGGCCAGTGGCCAGGCATTGGGAAGTATTTCAGTTTTTAACAGTTTGTGACTTGTGAGACCGTGTGGTCAGGCTCAGGAGCTACTTGTTAGTTATTGGCTATGCTAAATAATAAGTAAACCGTGATCCTTACCACCAATTGCCCTTTTCTCCCTCATCTCCAGGGAAATCCTTTCCTGAAACACAGAATTTCCACTTGGAGGTCGGCCTCATTATTCTGTCCGTAGTATTTGCAGTATGCCTTCTAGCTTGCCTACTGGGAGTCGCTCTCCGAAAATTTAAAAGGCGTAATCAAGAACGCCTCAATCCCAGAGATGTGGAGTACGGCACCATCGAAGGGCTCATCACCACCAATGTTGGAGACAGCACTCTAGCAGTGAGTTTGTGACCCCAGGGAATCCCAAGCATGACAAAGATGGCTAAACATGCTTTCTTATTTCCACCCTGAAATGCTAACCAGGAGCCGGTGGCTGGACAACGTGCACACATACCACTGGTCAGTTGTGTCCTGGGCAAGCACATGTTGGCACCTGTTTAGTCTCCCCTATGTGAGCACATTTATTTTAGACACATGTTTATGTTCATCGAGGGAGGGGATTTATTTTAATAGTTTCTTGGTAGTTATTTTTCTCTTGGGGAGTAAGGGAAAAGGTACAGAGAACGGTTGCCTCTAATTTTGGGGGGAGCTTGGAGTAACTCAGTTACCCTATTTTTAGCAATGAAAGTGCCTTCAAAAAAAGCACCTTTGCTTAATATTAAAATCACTTTCCCTTCTAGATTATTTTAACACCCTGTAATTTAAGACTTTAAAACTTGACATCCAAAAAAGCAGCTATTAAACTTTTCACGCTCCCGTGCTGCCCCCTGGTGGAGGGTAGTCATTTGTTAAATCAGTGCTATCCAATAGAAATACATGTGCCACATATATAATTTTAAATTTCCTAGTGGCCACTCAGAAAAAAAAAGTTTAAAAACCTCCCACCATAGGTGATATTAATTTTAACAAAATATTTGACCTAATATATATGGTTATTACCCTTTCAACATATAATCATTAACCATAAAGAATCATGAATGTGATGTCTTTCTTAATTTCTTTTTTTTTTTTAAGCTAAGTTTTTAAAATCTGGTGTATATTTTACACTCACAGCATATACCAGTTCAGTGTAACTACATTTTATTTTTTATTTTTTTTATTTTTTTATGATAGTCACACAGAGAGAGAGAGAGAGAGGCAGAGACACAGGCAGAGGGAGAAGCAGGCTCCATGCACCGGGAGCCCGATGTGGGATTCGATCCCGGGTCTCCAGGATCGCGCCCTGGGCCAAAGGCAGGCGCCAAACCGCTGCGCCACCCAGGGATCCCAGTGTAACTACATTTAATTTGCTAAAAGTCAACAACATGTGGTCAGTAGCTACCTTCGTGGACAGCTCAGGGTTAGACACCAGTTTTTAAAGTTGTTCTTTTGCATGTTTTTAAATGATGAAATCACATGAACACTTTTTACCTTTAAAAATTGTCTAGGGGATCCCTGGGTGGCCCAGCGGTTTAGCGCCTGCCTTTGGCCCAGGGCGCGATCCTGGAGACCCGGGATCGAATCCCACGTCGGGCTCCCGGTGCATGGAGCCTGCTTCTCCCTCTGCTTATGTTTCTGCCTCTCTCTCTCTCTCTCTCTCTCTCTGTGTGTGTGTGACTATCATAAATAAATTTAAAAAAATTTAAAAATTATCCAGTGTTATTTTCAAAGAAACTTTAAGGGAGCCACTTGCTATAAATAGGTTACCATAAAATGCAGAAGAGAGAAGTGATAACGTTCTGAAGCGGTACTATGCTGAGTCTGATGCCTCCTCTGGAAAAGGTGAAGATTAGTGTGTGCTAGGTGTTAAAGACATGCTGACACTAAAGCAAGACTTTCCTTGTCATAATTTGATGGAAGACCATCGAGGTTGTACCTTTCTGACATGATCTGGTGTTATTTTATGTCATGGCCATGGCCACGCATCCCTTAAGACCATCTCGTGTTAAGTCTTGTTCTGCTAGACAACAAGCTTCCAAATGTGTGGTAGGTCGCAGTTAAGCTTCCTCTGTGCTGGAGGAGACGCGCCCTTACCAGTGTTTGTAGCTCAAGGGCAATTCTTGGACCAACCTTGGCGAGTTGTTAAGACATTTGGTGGTGGCTGATTCAGGCTGGGAAATATCCCACCCGCCTGCCTTCCCAGTCATCGGGCCACCAGTCAAAGAAGGGCGGGAGGGTATCTCATTGGCTTCCTTTTACCTACGTATTTGGATTACGGGATAGCAGAACTGGGGAAAAGAGGAGGTGAGGACGGTCTATTTACCAAAGTGAAGAAATACAGTTTTTCGTTAGCAATGTGCTCAGAAGTTTGCTTCAAACATCAAGGAAGAGTAACTGAGTTTCTGGAGTCAGTAGCAAGAGATGAAGCTGAATCTTGACAAAGCTTTAGCAAAGCAAGATTCTTAAGTAGTTTAGTCAGCACTTGGCTCCCCAGGACCGTTAACCACGATGGACAAGGACAGGACTATCTAGCGTAAATCACTGTTTATGTAGCTTCTCTGAGTTTGGAAGAGGAATGGGAGCATGTGCTAAAATCGTCTTCTCAACTGTGTGGTGTCTGAGGACAGGGTATCGCGGTAACAGTAGCACAGTGAAGAACACTGTTTACAGCAAGTTGTCGTTATTGGTCTCTATACTTGCTCATTTATGTTCACTTATGTGGTTCAACAAAGCCTGTCTTACTGAACAGCTTCCTAACTTGGAAAAGAAGCCTTGGGATCCAGGAGTTGAAGTAGAGGTTGGTTAGTCTTTGGTGGATGCCGCTGCCTTGCCTTAAGTCTATGAACTAGATTTAAAATCACGATTATACATTATGAAAAAACGCATTTGTTTAATTTTCAGAATTATTCTCTCAAAAAAATTGAATGAATAAAGAGAAAAAAGAACAGCAAAAGAGATGGTTAGGGAGATGTGAAACTACTTCATCTACATTCAATTTCTTGTTGATTATCCATTTTGTGGTTTTTAAGGATTCTAAATATCTTCCTTTGGATGTTCAGATTTTGGTAATTTTGCTGATCAACAGTACTTCACAGTGGTGCTCAGAGTAAGTAAAAGAAGACGAAATTCAGACAAATCAATGTATTGCTTGAACAGGCCAGCTAACATGTTGGGAAAGAATGAGCCAAAGCTTCATTCCAAAGGGAATGTTAGCTCAACATTGCTGCAACCTTACCTCCATCACCATGGGCATAATATGGTGTATTCCAAATAGTCCATTACAAAGAGATGTCTACTCCTCGGCTTGCACTGAGGATAAAAAGGGAAAACTTAGGAATGAACTAATTGAGGATTTTTTTGCACAATATGTTCATTTTCAGAAGTAGGTTTTGGGCATGGTTTTATGTTTTGTATGAAAGTTTTATTTTTTTCCCTCTCTCATTTGTGAATAATTCACATCCGGAAATGACACTGAGGGTTAGCCTTTGTGATCCTTTTGTTCCTCACTTACCTAAAGGGTACCTCCATCCAGGGGCCCCTCTCTGCTTGAGTGTACCAGCTAGATGACTCACATGGCCATTGGAGTCTTTGCAAGAGAAACAACATTAGAGACTTGTTTGTTCCTTGTTCCTAATTTGTTTGTTCCTGTTAGAGTTCCTTAGTTAGCCTGTCAACCAAAGTGAATCCTTTCATAGATACTTAGCAGAGCAGAACATGGTTGGTTATGCCCAGGCCTTGGGTTTGAAGACCCTTCCCTCTTTTTGCCCCGCCGGTCCCTCATTTGGCTGCTTTCCCGTGTGCTCAGCCCTGCTTCTTGGACTTTCTAATTTGCATCTTTGACTTTGTCCACTCAGCTTTTATATATATATATTTTTTTTTCAATGTATATTTTGTATTATAAAACTCTGGATGCAAGAAAAGACTACTTATCCCTCAGGAAAACCTATCATATGTTTGGGAAAGGGCTAGCATCTGGTTTTCCTAAGAATACCAGTTCTTCCTCCAGTGGGGCTCTCATACACACAAATGGGCCCCAGGCCCAGGATCGCCGTCTCCATGCAAGTTAAAGTGATATGCATGCTCATACTCTAAACTAGAACTGTTTCTCAGTAGTTTCTTTTTCTCCTTGTTTTGAACCACAGGATTTATTGGATCATTCGTGTACATCAGGAAGTGGCTCTGGTCTCCCCTTTCTGGTACAAAGAACAGTGGCTCGTCAGATCACACTGTTGGAGTGTGTCGGTAATTTTTTTTTCCTCCTCTTTATGGGTTGTATGCAATGTTAGCAGTGGCTCTAGAAGCAGGACAGAACTTGGAAAATCTGCCTTGCATTGCCTGTTGCTTGTGAAATAACAGGAGATGCTGTGGCCATGTATCTGTTCTCTGTGACTTGAGTTGGAGCACCTCAAGTTGTTGGAATTCTTGTCAAAGGAGTCCGTCGCTAGTTAGTCTGAAGAATGGCTAGTCAAAAGCTTTTAGTTGCAAGTAGACCCTTTGGGATGATGGGAAGGCATGAGAAATGAATTAGCATGGCTGCTCCTGGCTGCAGGCATTGAGTGATGTGAGGTGAGTGGGCGTTTAGACAATACACTTGCTTATGGCAATCCTCCAAGCCCGCTCACTCTCCCACTGTCTTTAAAAATAATGAGTTAAATTTACCAAAGCTACCTTTATAATTGCTTTGTTTAAACAAGAGCAATATCTCTCTCTCTGTGGTCTCATATTTTCCCCATCTAGGAACATGTTTATATATAGATGCAATTAGAATGTGTATACAATTTGTGTTGCTTCTTTCAGTTTTAAGCTCATACACATTTCCACATATCTATACACATCACAAATATTTTAAAAGATTGTGTAACTATGGTCCTTTGAATGACTGTTTCATTTTAACGCTACCACTCAAGAAAGCTTCTGCACATATTGCATCTTTCTTTTGAGTGCTCAGAAAAAATTCCCAGGAGTTGGAGTTTCCTGGGTCAAAATTTGTGACATTTTTATGGCTTGTTTGTAAATTGCCCTCTACGAAGATGGTGCAAAATGCCTTTTTTGGTGGGGGGGAGTCCTGAGTTTTATTAGTTTTACTTGTATTTGGTAGGTATTTATGAGTCATGTGGTAGGTGTCAGTAATTTTTGGGAACCACACGTCATGCTTCTCTTGCACAGTGGACTGTGAGCAGGGAAGATACAAATAGAAAAGCCCCAGATATGCTCATCACACACAACCAGGGCTGTCCTCGTGTGCTGCCTAACATGCAGTCTGATTATGAACGGGGGTATTTGGGTAGGAATGAGAAGGCAGTGACAGGCGACATTTACCTGTCTCGCTTACCCCTACCCCCCTGTCCCGTGGCCACTCACCATTCACAGAGCAGCCAATGTCAGTATCAGTTTTCAGAGACCGACCCCAGAGTCCAAAGGGCAAAGCAGTATTGCACCGTTTAAAAACACATACTGTTTCTGCTAGTGTAGATATTCTTGAGCATTTTCGGAAATAGTATAAATTCAGTTATAGCATTTTGTTGGTTTAGTGCTAAAGACTTTCATAAAAGCAATGCCATTTCAGTAGCTTATAAAGTTAGTGTTCACGCGCGCAGCCTTGAATAAAAATGTATGTGAAGAACTGCTTGGATAATATGTTGCCATTTTGGGTTCAAAATGGGAAGTTGGACTAGATCAGTTGTTACCAGATAGTGATTTGTGAACCCCCCAAATTTCAGATACCTTAGCGATTCCTGTGGGGGGCTCCATGGCCTGTACTTTTGGGCAGTTCTGCTTCTGTTTTTAGGAACTTTTGAATAAGGTTGCATTTCTAAAAAGCATTTGACAACTTAAAAGCATTTGAAAGCCACTGAAGTAGGTTTCTATTTTAAATGTCTACTTATCCTGACATCCATCTCTGTTTTCTTTCTTTCTTTTTCTAAAAGTATTTAAGGCTACTTTTTAGTAATGTATACAATTCTCTGGGATATTTTTTTCTCTCCTTCCCAATAAGACTATGAGGACAAATGGCAAATAAAGAATTTCACCAAAGGCAGGAAAAGATCAGCATACTGTTTTAGCAGCCTGTTTTGTAGTACCTTAGCAGTAGCCTTCGTCTTGAACTCCAAATGCTGGGCAATTGCTGTGACTGTATTAAAATGAGTCCTACTCTAAATACCATTTTTGCGACCTGACGGCAGCCCACAATGATGACTTACTGGCCACATTTACCATTCTTTTGGATTAGTCATTGGTATTTCACAAGGACGTTGTTTATCACGAGGGAGTGTTGATTGTGTCGTTTTCATTCTCTGTCAGGACATAACCCCCTGGATAAGCATGCTTTCTTTCTCCACGTTTGGGTTCTTGGGTTCTCGTGGCTTCGTTTTTCAGCAAAGAGCTGTATTCCTGTGTGCGCAGGTGGTGCTGCAGCTGCTTGTTACGAGCCGTGACTCCCAGCAACCCTTGCCTGGTAGAAAGCCCTGCTGCCCTGCAAGGTCTGTCTCCCGCTACATCCTTCTCTAGGTGCCGCGTGTGTCTTTACCCTGATTATACCCCCCCCCCCAGTTGATCCTCACGGTCTCATGGTAATTACCTCCTCCTTCCCCCAGCCTCCCTGATCACCCCTACCTGTAATTAAGGAGAAGAATGGAAGAGGGAACATGTTGTTGACAGGCTGAGAGTTGTGTTGCTGCTGCAGGACAGGGCTTGTGCCCCAAAGAGCCAGGTCACAAACCAGAGTCATGTTTTGGGAAATGCTTTCTCCAAGCGGCCCTTTCAGTGTGGCCCACTCCTGGCATCACGGGCTAACAAGCAAATTCCCATGACCAATGTCAGGAATCAGAACTGTGCTGGGATTATGTCTTAAGACTCTGCAAATCCTCTTTTGAAATATATCCTCTGCCCAGAAATCCTTTAGGGAAGGTAGTGGCTGCTTGTCGGTCTCCTCCACAGCACTGTTGTGTGTGTGTGTGTACGTACTTGTGTGTATTTGTGTGTATTTTGGGGGATTCTTCAGAATGCAGATCTCAAACCTAATAGTCTCCCTTATGAAAAACATAAATGCATATGTAAATTCACAAATTTGGACTCCCCAAGAAAATGTCCGCTTTGATCTTGTGCAAAGGGAAGGGATCCAGTAAGCTATTCAGTGTAGCCACATGTGCTTTTTCTTTCCTTTTTTCTTTTGGCTTTCAGCACATTGCAACCTAATACTTTGTATTTTCTTCGTTTTACTAACTTTTATGTCCTTTTAAAAATCATATGTTTCATGCCCTTTGATAGAAGAATTTAACTGTAAGCCTCGTAATTAGCAGCTAATTGTACAGTGTAGATACTGGGGGTGTTGGATTTGTTATGACAGTGGGTGGTTGGGAGGGGCAGGTTCCACACCTTTCTGTATGTCTTCACAGGTGAAAAGCTGTGATATTTAGATCCCCAGATTAAGTTTTTCCCCCCACCCCGAGCAAACAATGGGGGGTGGGGGGGAAGAGCTGCAGGCCAGAAATGTCCTGGCTATGTCTCCTGTCCTGCCGTTCCATGTCACCTCTGTGTTGCTTCCCCCAGGGAAAGGCAGGTATGGTGAGGTATGGAGGGGCAGCTGGCAAGGGGAGAACGTTGCTGTGAAGATCTTCTCCTCCCGGGATGAGAAGTCGTGGTTCAGGGAAACAGAATTGTACAACACTGTGATGCTGAGGCATGAAAATATTTTAGGTAAGTACAAAGATAATCCCCCTCATTAATTTTATCTAGAAAGAAATAATTGCCTACCTTTGCCCTCTCAGATTTGGTGTATGTGAATCTGCAAGTCTCCCCCTGAAAAGCGATAATAGGAATCATCAGCGTTTATATCATGTTTAATTTTCTTTTAACACTAATTTCTTGTTTAAATCTGCAAAGAAGCTAAGTTTGAAGATTCTCTGGATGATGAAAATGAAATCATTATTGCTAATTCTTATTCTGTAGGTTGTTATTTAAGCAACAAAAATTTACCCCATATTGTTCACTTCAAGGCTTCATCCGTTGTTCTACTTACCGCACCCTTTTTGAATATTTATTGAATCAAACTAAGAAAGCTCTTTGGACGATTTCCTAGAGATTCACAGCTCCCAGGGACATCGTAATTAAATGCACGTTCCCTCAAACTAGGCATGGTTTTTAAAGCCCAGATTTACAGAGGGATTTAGCATCCATTTTAATTTGGAAACTAAAGCTTAGAACCATTTGTGAAATATGTGAAGAGCCCATCGAAATACTGCTAAGGAGGTATAAGGGATGAGAATATTCCTTGACTTCTCTGTTTTTGGAAAGTTTCTCTCAGTGTGTTTATACCAATACATGTATGCTGAGTGCTGCTCAGAGTGCTTTTTAAATAGGGGATATAAAGTTTACAGAGAAATTGACTCCCTAGGATAGTGCTGGCCTCTTTATGGCTATTGGATGAGTTTTGGCTTATCAGAAGGCCCTGGCCATGACTTATTTCGATTCCATTATTGCCAATTTAGTATGAAACCCGAGTCAGGTTGTCTACCAGGAATGCTTTGACAGTTGTCTCAAGTTTTGCCTTAACAGTGTGGCGGTGTGTTCCATCTTAGACTTGTGTGTTTCTACTGTTGTCTTCTCCCCTTGCCTTACTGTGGGGCCCCAGCTGTCACCCAGTGCCCCTTACTCATATCATTGCTGTTGGTCTCCCATTTCCAGCCCATCTTGCTACACTGAGTTATCTTTCATTGGGTAGCTGGGTACTCCTCAAAGTATCTTTGATGACTCCTCCATTGCTTGTCACATTTGTGCCTTCTGGGCCTGGCATTCCAGACTCCCTATATCTTGGGGTCCCAAGGAGGCTCAGACTTTCTCTACAAATATCCCTAGATGGCAGCCACTTCTGATATTTGCCATTACTTCGTATCGCTGTGAGCATTCCAGTGTCTGTGCCTTTGTTCACAGTCTTGATCACCCACGATCCACACCCTATACTCCAACCACCCTTCCTTCCATCAAAATGTCGCAGTTCCTGTCTAGTCTCTCCCAGTGGGTTTACCTGTGCTTTTCTGCAGTCCCTACTTTGCAGCTGTGCTGTAACTCTGATCACACACTACCGTGTGTCACAGATGCACACGTGTAACAACGATGACTCGTTACTGTGCAGCAAGCGCTGCTTTAAGTGCTTCATGTGCATTTTCTCATTTTGGCTTCCCCACAATCATAAGTGGGTAGGTACTCGTATTTTTCTAGTTTTAACTGATGAGGTAACCAGGGCGGGGAGGTTAGCATCACCCATCAGGTTAAATCGCAGAGCTGAGAATCCTACTGGGTAGTGTGTCTCTTTTTTTTTTTTTTTTTTTTTTCCTGTTTGAATTATGTTCATTTTTATTTTTTTTTATTTTTTATTTTTTATAAATTAATTTTTATTGGTGTTCAATTTACCAACATACAGAATAACACCCAGTGCTCATCCCGTCAAGTGTACCCCTCAGTGCCCGTCACCCATTCACCCCCACCCCCCACCCTCCTCCCCCTCCACCACCCCTAGTTCATTTCCCAGAGTTAGAAGTCTTTATGTTCTGTCTCCCTTTCTGATATTTCCCACACATTTCTTCTCCCTTCCCTTATATTCCCTTTCGCTATTATTCATATTCCCCAAATGAATGAGAACATACACTGTTTGTCCTTCTCCGGTTACTGTGGCCAAGTTCAAAAAGGGTGTTGCCTGAGTTCTCCTCTGGGATTTTGATGGAATCTTGTCTCACATTTAGATCTTTCATCTATTTTGAGTTTATCTTTGTGTATGGTGCAAGAGAGTGGTCCAGTTTCATTCTTCTGCATGTGGATGTCCAATTTTCCCAGCACCATTTATTGAAGAGACTGTCTTTCTTCCAGTGGATCGTCTTTCCTCCTTTATCGTATATTAGTTGAGCATAAAGTTCAGGGTCCACTTCTGGGTTCTCTGTTCTGTTCCATTGATCTATATGTCTGTTTTTGTGCCAGTACCACACTGTCTTGATGAACACAGCTTTGTAGTACAACCTGAAATCTGGCATTGTGATGCCCCCAGATATGGTTTTCTTTTTTTAAAATTCCCCTGGCTGTTTGGGGTCTTTTCTGATTCCACACAAATCTTAAAATAATTTGTTCTAAGTCTCTGAAGAAAGTCCATGGTATTTTGATAGGGATTGCATTATACGTGTAAATTGCCCTGGGTAACATTGACATTTTCACAATATTAATTCTGCCAATCCATGAGCATGGAATATTTTTCCATCTCTTTGTGTCTTCCTCAATTTCTTTCAGAAGTGTTCTGTAGTTTTTAGGGTATATTTTGAGAACCATTTGAATGGTAAATGGTTCTCCAACCTTTTATTTTCAGGTTGTAGGTGTCCTTCTGTCTAAAATGAGTCTCTTGTAGACAGCAAATAGATGTGTCCTGTTTTTTTATCCAGTCTGAAACTCTGCGCCTTTCGATGGGGTCATTAAGCCCATTCACGTTCAGAGTTACTTGAACTTCTTCTTAAAGGGGAGTTTTAAGAGTCCCCCTTAAAATTTCTTGCAGAGCTGGTTTGGAGGTCACATATTCTTTCAGTTCCTGCCTGTCTTGGAAGCTCTTTATCTCTCCTTCCATTTTGAATGAGAGCCTTGCTGGATAAAGTATTCTTGGCTGCATGTTCTTCTCATTTAGGACCCTGAATATATCCTGCCAGCCCTTTCTGGCCTGCCACGTCTCTGTGGAGAGGTCTGCTGTTACCCTAATATTCCTCCCCATGAAAGTCAGGGACTTCTTGTCTCTTGCTGCTTTAAGGATCTTCTCTTTATCTTTGGAATTTGCAAGCTTCACTATTAGATGTCGAGGTGTTGAACGGTTTTTATTGATTTTAGGGGGGGATCTCTCTATTTCCTGGATCTGAATGCCTGTTTCCCTTCCCAGATTGGGAAAGTTTTCAGCTAGGATTTGTTCAAATACATATTCTGGCCCTCTGTCCCTTTCGGCGCCCTCGGGAACCCCAATGAAACGTAGGTTTTTCTTCCTCAGGCTGTCATTTATTTGCCTTAATCTGTCTTCATGGTCCCTTAATTGTTTGTCTCTTTTTTCCTCAGTTTCCCTCTTTGCCATTAACTTGTCTTCTATGTCACTCACTCGTTCTTCCACCTCGTTAACCCTCGTCGTTAGGACTTCTAGTTTGGATTGCATCTCATTCAATTGATTTTTAATTTCTGCCTGATTGGATCTAAATTCTGCAGTCATGAAGTCTCGTGAGGCCTTAATGCTTTTTTCTAGAGCCACCAGTAGCTGTATAATGGTGCTTCTGAATTGGCTTTCTGATACTGAAGTGTAATCCAGATTTTGTAACTCTGTGGGAGAGAGGGCTGTTTCTGATTCTTTCTTTTGAGGTGAGGTTTTCCTTCTAGTCATTTTGCTCAGTGCAGAGTGGCCAAAAACAAGTAGTATTGGAACACGGGGGAGTATCACTGGTCCGTCCAGCTGGTCTTCTGGGGGAGGGGCCTGCTGTGCTGATTCTCAGGTGTTAGCACTTGGGGGAGCTGCTCTGCCCCTGCCTGCTGCAGGGCTCAGCGGGGGTTGTTTACCCCGTGGGGCCCCAGGAGGATCAGCCGCAGTTGCTATGGCAGCTCCGGAAGCCTGGATTCAGCCTCCGCAGGAACTACGGGGCTCGGGGCTCTCGGTTCTCCGTCCGCAGGGCCTGGAGGCTCCGGGGCGGGGCCGCTGATCTGCTCAGCTCGGGGCAGGAGCGTCCTTGCTGTCCTGGGCCCTCCCGGCCTCTGCCTGTCCCGGGGGGAGGCCGGATCCTGGGCTGTGTCCCGGCGCCCTGTGCTCCGGGGCCTGCGCTGGTGGATTCGCGCTCCCGCCCCGCAGCCCCCTCCGCGGAGCCGCCGCCCGAGCCCCTCCGAGCTGCTCCGGCCCCGCCGTGCGCGCTGCAGCCCTTAGGGAGCTCGGAGCACTCTCCGGGGCGCAGGTGTCTGTTAGTGTCCCCGGGAGCCCGAGGGCATCCCCGCCCTCCTGGGTCCTGCTCCAACTCCCTGCGAGCCCCTTTCCGCCCGCCGGGAAGGTTGGTGCAGCTCCTGCTCCTCCGGGACGGGGCTCTCCTGTCCTGGGGACACTCGCCCCGGCCTCAGCCCGGCTCCTCGCGGGGCCCCTCCCCCTCGGAGGCCTTTTGTTTCTTTATTTCTTTTTCCCCGTCTTCCTACCTGGATAGAAGCGCGAACTCTTCTCACTGTAGCATTCCAGCTGGTCTCTCTTTAAATCTCAGGCCGAATTCGTAGATTTTCAGGATGATTTGAAGGTTATCTAGGTATTTTGGTGGGGACAGGTGACCTGGGGACCCTGCTCTTCCGCCATCTTGCCCCTCCCTCCGGTAGTGTGTCTCTTAACCACAGTTCTGTACTCTGTGTTGTGGTTAGCTAGTGGAATTGCTTCTGTGATTCTGTAATAAGAGGATGAGGTAAAGATTCACCCACAGTCAAAATTATCCTTAAATGTCCCACTTTTGCCTCTGACACTGGAACAGAGAGGGGAGTAACGGATAGAGTGTCAGTTGTGTTAGAAGCCGTGATGTATCAGGAGTACTCTTTAGACAGTGGAATTACTGTTTAAAAAAAGAAAAAGATTTTATTTATTTATTTATTCATGAGAGACACAGAGAGAGGCAGAGACATAGGAGAGGGAGAAGCAGGCTCTCTATGGGGAGCCCGATGCAGGACTTGATCCCAGGACTTCACATCCTGAGCTGAAGGTCGACCTTCAACCTCTGAGCCACCCAGGCGTCCCTAGGCAGTGGAATTACTCTTACCGGGCAGGTGCACATACTGTTAAGAAGTATGCGGGGTCTGAGTACATGAATAGAAGGGCATATGTTCAGGCACCCCTCTTATGGACTCACAGGTTCATTGAACAAAATGGGCTAGATATTGCCAGGCTATGCAAATAGTCACTTTATCAGTGCCCTTGAGTTCAATGAATTGTGATATCATTCCCTTGTATGCCAAGGACAAGGATCACTTCCATTGGTTTTGCTCTCATGTGCTAAGGACAGTACCCTGCACATGCTAGGTGCTTAGTATGTATCTGTTAAACTGGATGTAATCATAAGAGAAATTTGAAAGTCACCTTTGCAATATGATTCATGTGAGAGGTGAGATTCCTTTAGTGTGACCACATAGAGCAAAACATTGTTCATTTCTTATTACTTGGTGATCCAGGGAAATTCTGTACTCATGAGGTCTTTCCACCATCATCATACTTAGAGCTATATGGACTGATTTTACTGTGTAGTTCTTTTAACTTTAAGATGCACCACTTTTTTTTGGCGGGGGGGGGGGGGCTAAATTTGGTTAAAGTCCTTTCCTTGCTTTACCAGTTTTCTGGATATAGAGACCTCAAGATTTTCTGTGATCTTTTCCTTTTCTATCAAAGGAGCATATTGTATCGAGCGTTGGATGATGATGTCCCTCCCACCGTTGAGAATTGCTAACTCTGGCCCCTCAGAATGAATCAGTCACACACACATTGACACATACACGCATACATACAAAACTCTGCACACTCACTCTTTATCTCCTTTGCAGCAATATCTTTCCAGGGACTAGGTTGGCTTTTGACTCTTCCTTCTGCTCTGGTACAGAATTCAGCAGACAAGGGGGTAATGGGTGGCTGTGCTGTGTGGTGGCAGGAAGAGTGGTCGGGGGATTTGAGAAGCTGGTTTCTACTCTCAGCGCCTCAAACAGGCCTACTCTGTGACTCTGGGCCAAAGTTACATGTTTTGGAGTATTCTTGTTCTCATTACTAAGACCAAGGGAGTTGAGTTAGTGTGAGAATTTTATTCCAAAGTCTCATCTTAGGCTCTTTTTAAAAAATTACAGTAAGATACAAAGTTTAGTGTTTAATCATGTTAAGTGGACAGTGCAGTGACACATGTCCATTCACATCGTGCAGCCATTACCGCCTTCCATCTCTAGAACTGCCCCGGGCTCTTCAGAGGTAATGCCTAACCGTTTAATCAGACTTTCTTGAGACCACGTGGAAGTAAAGGAAGTTACCCACAGAAGATATGATGTTGCAGAATTGTTGTGGTTTTAGTTGAACCCTGAGCTCTTCTGAATGTAATAGTAGCCGGCTATTCTTGATACTTCCTGGGTTGGGCATGGTGGGAAGCACTTTACCTATAATTACTCTTTTCTCACAATACCCCTTTGAGATTGCTCATGACGTTATCCTTATTCTTATCTTACAAACGAGGAAGCCAAGGTGGACCTTTCATAGGACTTGTGTGAGATCACCCAGCTGGGCAATGGGAGAGCTCTTGTGGGTCCCCGGGGTCAGGCCCGGGGCCCAGCGCCCTGCAGCCCCCGTGCCCCACTGTGAGGTGGCCTCAGTCCTCAGCTGCTGTAGCTGCCTGGTTCCTGGAGGAGAAGGTTCGCTGGAAGAGGCTCGCAAGGGCCACTGATGACCTCGCTTAAGATGTTGGGGTTTGTTTTCTTTTTTGAGGAGGCTGGGAGGATGACTTGGCTGTTAAATAAGAGGCTTTTGCTCTAATCACCTTCCCTCCCCATTATGAACACGTCCAGTGGCCATGCCAGCATCCCAGCTTCTAAGGACCTGTTCAGCGTTCACTACCAGTACAGTGCTTTGACTGAAAATGCAGAAATTTCATTAAAATGCTCTAGCATTTTGAAACAAATGTAGTTCTGTAATTCATGCTTGGGAGATAAACAGTTAAAAAAAAATCCTGCCTTTTTAAAAGTCCTTTTTCTGGAAGGTCTAGAGCATAATTAACGGGACAGACAAAAATCCTTCTCTGAGACTTAAGAGGCTTAGGGAAGGTGAGAGAATAAATATTTATTTGTTATTTATTTATCTATTTATTTAATCAGAGGCTGCTCTCCCTTGGGCAGAGAAATCAGTAGAGGTGACATTAAATACACAACAGTAATTTGATTCCTTTGGAGTGGTACTTATAGTTTAGGATATTTATTTTTGAAAGTCATTAATGATTAATATCCTTTGGTTTAAAATAATAAAGCAGAAACATTTTCTTTAGTAACAGTAAATATCTAAATACACAGTTTGATTATTCATATTGTGGCCAGTGAAGGGCTCCAGGAGAAATCGCTGCAGGGCCACAGAGACAGACTGGAGAGGGAAGGAGTGAGAGATGGAGACTGCCCAGGGGAAGGGGCGCAGAGGGCAAGAAGAGAGAGGTAGGGGATCAAAGTGCGGAAACATCACTTTGTTCACTTTACAGATGTGCAGTAGATTCAGTGTCAAATTGTCTTTCTCCCAGAAGTCAGCTTGTTTGGGGGCAGTCTGGTATAATGGGTAAGAGTATGGGTGCTAGAGCAGACTGTTGGGGACCATTACTAGCCTTTGTACCAGCAATGTCCTCTGCCTCCTTCCAGTGTGAGTGTGGACAATTACATGCGGAGTGTGCAGAACTCTGCCTGGCACCGTGTTGGTCCCAGTAATTACTAGCTGCTTCTATTGTTGATGATGATGACGATCATATAGGGGACCTTTCTTTGTTCCCAGAATTTCCTGTACAAGGTGTGGTGTGCCCAGGTAGCTGGCACCAAACTTGAGGTCAGCAACAACTTAATAGATATGTAATTTGACATCTCTTAGCAGCAATTTTATTATTTATAAACTGAGTATAATGAGATCTGTGTTACTGGTGTATTGAGAAAAATCCTAGGAGAAAATATGTGTGAAAGTGGCACAAATTGTGTATCCGGTTCTGTGCAAGCATGAGGCATGTTCTGCATATTTCTGTTTTTTTTTTTTTTTTTTAACAGAAAAGTCCTTTAATCCTGCCCAAGCCACATCTGTCTTTTTTAAAAAAATATTCTTTTATTTATAAAGACCAGAGGTCACCGCCTGTGTGCCCATTAGGGGTGTGTGTGTGTATGTGTGTGTGTGTGTGTGTGTGTGTATTTATATACATACAAATGGAGAGCGAATGTGCAAGCAAGCATGTGGAGAGCACGTCTATGGCAGGAAAGGCAAGCACACACATCATAATTTATTTTGTAGGTTAGGAAGTTCTAGAATTCATTCAGCTTGCTCTAGGGTCCCCTTAGAATGTCTAGAAAAATCTCTTCCTACCTCTTTACTGGCATCTGTCAAGTCTCACTTCTTTGCAAGACTGCTTCAGTTTTATCACTTCTCAATGGAAACCTGTTGTAACATCTAGTCTGAATCATTAGGATTCCCTGTTCTGGACTCATGCTGCCTTTTGCGGATCTAACAGTACTTTTCATTATATTCATTACTTTATACTATAATTTTCCCTTCCTATACCTGTCTTTTGTTCTAGCCGACAGACGCTTTCCCCTTGGTTTTCCTGTGTGATGACAAAGAGCATCGCAGAGTCTTACTGTATTTGGCTTCTTTTTTATTTGATGAGTAGTCAGTCATTTAATAAAACTTATCCTTTATCTTACATTTGAGCACAGATAATTCAGAGAACCTAAATGTTTGCCCAGGATTACACAGCAAATCACAGGCAGAGTCAATACTAGAACATAGGTGTTTAGATTCTGTTTTTTTATTCTTTTTGAGTGGTTGATGAATAATCTGTGCTTGGAATATGAGCATGATAAAGAGTTTGATACTATTATTATGGATGAACACAAAGATATTATTCCTATTCAAATTGTAATGCAAAGTAAACTTTTTAAAAGGATTATTTATAATGAAAATGAATATGGAACTTTCCTATTCATTGGCAGTACTTTTATGGTAGTATTAATAGTATTATGTTTTTCTGTTGACACCTCTGTAAACCTCCTTTCATGGTAGTTGGTCAGTTTGATTGTTTTTTGTTATAGGTGGTATCTACTGTGTGGGTCACTATTTCTGTATACCATAAGTTATAACGTGAAATTCTTACATGTCTGCTCCTTTTGTTCTTGCTCTCTCCAGGTTTTATTGCTTCAGACATGACATCAAGACACTCCAGTACCCAGTTGTGGTTAATCACACATTATCATGAAATGGGATCGTTGTACGACTATCTTCAGCTTACTACTCTGGATACGGTTAGCTGCCTGCGAATAGTGCTGTCCATAGCTAGTGGTCTTGCACATTTGCACATAGAGATATTTGGGACCCAAGGAAAGCCAGCCATTGCTCATCGAGATTTAAAGAGCAAAAACATCCTGGTTAAGAAGAATGGACAGTGTTGCATAGCAGATTTGGGTAAATTTTTTTAAAAAAATATTTTTTTATTTAGTTTTTGACTTTTGTTGGATTCCATTGTTTAGCTAGGTTACATCTATGCCCCCTCCCCGAACATCTTGTGAAGAATTTCAAGCATGCAGGCAAATTGAAAGAACTTCCCATTGAATAGCTGGATACCCACTACCTAGATTCTCCCATCAACAGTTTACTGTTCTTAAGCTCTGTCACATACCCATCCATTTCCACTCATCTGTCCATCTTTAATCATTGATATGTTCCCAAGTAAACTGCAGACAAGAGAGCTCTTCTAAAGACTTCAGCATCTGTATATTGTGTCACTCACTGGAGTGAGTCTATGATTTGTTTACTTCTCTCTCTCCAGGTGAAATTTCAATTTCATGAGAAATGAACGAATCTAAGTAATACGTTCTCACAGTTTTGACAAATGCTGTAAAATCTAAATCTCAATCGAAATTCAGACCTTCACATTACCTTGGAAAGTCACTCCCAAGTGAACTGCTCATTTAGTCAGTTCCTGACCAGCCTCACCCTTAGAGGCAACCAATAGTCTGTAGCATTCTGGTTTCACAAACCTTTACACAGAATAGGTACACAGTTAAATAACTTATGGAATGAGGGTCTCCTGGGCAGCTTAGTCAGTTAAGTGTCTGACTCTTGGTTTCAGCTTAGGTCATGAGCTCAGGCTTGTGAGGTCGAGCCCTGCATCAGGCTCTGCATGCAGTGTGGAGTCTGCTTCAAATTCTCTCTCCTTCTACCTCCTGTTCACTCTCTCTCTCAAATAAGTAAATAAAATCTTTAAAAAAAGTAACCTATGGAATGAGTTCATCTTAAAAATGGTTTCTAAAGTTGTTTTTCTGTAATCATGGTAAAATTATCAGTGAAGAAAGAGGAAAATAATTCCTAAACCAATTTATAATTTCCCCTGTTGAGATATCTCATTCCTGCGGTGTTAGGGTAATGCTCAGTATAACTTTAATTGCATTATAAATAAGATTCTTTTCATTTATAGTGACATTGTATATAAAACCATATTCAACTTGGGTATTGGCTGAATAATTATGCTAATGAGAACTGAATTATAATATTGGTTATTCATTTCAGTGGACTATTGAGAGTCCTCACTCAATTTGATTAAAAAATGGTTTATATTATATTCATATCATTGTAGTTATTGTTAGGCTGATAAAGGTTTGGACAGTATTAGCTCTTTCATATAAATGATAAAATTCAATTCTTATTTTAAACACAAAAGAGTTAAATGTCAGGAAAATTTATTTCTTTTGAATTTCCTTAAAGTCTTTGCATTCATGCTGAGTATTATTTTTACACTGTTTTGCAAGCATGAGAAGAGAAATATTTGGGATGGCATTGAAAGGGTATGGCTCCAAAGCTCTTCATGGGCAGTTTTAGTTGTGGTTAGGGGACTTTTATGGCCATGCCATGGCTGTGGAGCAGGGTGATTTGGACTTGAATCCTGGCTTTCCCCTTTATCTTCCCCATATATCTATGTAGATATTTTATCTATTTACCTGCCTAAAGTGCAACACTGCTTATAACTTGATGTAAGGATGGGGAGCTAAGCAAGGAACACTTTAGCATTTCACACTGTGCACTGTACTTCTGTATTGTTTCAAATGTTTGTAACGCTGTGTTGAAGTATTGTTCATGTTACTAAAAAATCAATTATTATGTACCTCACATGGTTCTTACAAAATTCAGAAATTATTATACTTGCTTGGCAAATAATAAACATTCAGATGGTAGCTGCTGTTACAGTCCAGTGGTCTAGGGGAGATGGAAAATTAGGAAGCTGTTAAATTTGGTTACAGCACTTGATAGGGAGTCAGAGGTGTTTTTCATTAAGTCCAACTAATTATTTATTCATTTATCTTTCTTTTAGCCTGTAGCCTTCCAATTAGATACATGGATTTGTACAAAAATCTTTGTTAAGGTGTTATTATTCAGGGAGTGGTTCCTTGGTATAGAAGACAGCTAGTATAAGAGCATCATTTGTGTGTAATTTTTCACTTCACACCCAGAAATTAAGGATCACTCATTAGAAATCATGTTCTATTTATTTATTTATTTTTAAAGATTTATTTATTCATGAGAGAGAGAGAGAGGCAAAGACACAGAAAAGGAGGCTTCCTGCGGGGAGCCCAACATGGGACTTGATCCCACTACTCTAGGATCACACCCTGGGCCAAAGGCAGGTGCCAAACCGCTGAGCCATCCAGGCGTCCCAGAAATCATGTTCTGTTATTGATACTACAAAAATACCAGTATTCTATTTATTTTTCTGTTTATTATAAAAAAAATCAAACATACGGAAAGGCTTAAAGAATACTAAGCATAATGATCATTCATATTCACAACATCTAGATTCAACAGTTGTTGAAATTTTGCCATATTTGCTTCATCTATATGTAGCATCTGTCTTTGCTCATACTTTCGAAACAAGTTGCAGACATCACACCATGTTACTTCTAAATACTTCAAAATGTATCTCCTGCATAATCACAGTTTCCCTCACCTAAAATCATTGATAATTCTTTAATATCGTTGGACGTCCATTTTCATATTTTTCTAGTTTTCTCAAACAAGAACTCAGCCAAGGTTTATACATTGCATTTGGATGTTTTGTCTCTTTAGATAGTGGGATAATTATCTATTACTGGGTGACACATTGTTCCTAAAACTTAGCAGCTTAAAATAACACAAGTTTGTTATCTCACGTAGTCATCTGAGGGTCAGCAGCCTTGGAATGACTTAGCTCTCTGGTTCTGGCTCAGGATCTTGTGGGGGTTACAGTCAAGCTGTCGATTAGGGCTGCAAGTTTCTGAGGGCTTCGTCAGGGATGGCTCCACTCACATGGTTATTGGCAGGAGGCTTCGGTTCTTTGTCAGGGGGACCTCTCCATGGGGCTGCATGAGTGTCCTCATAACACAAGAGAACTGAGAAAACGGAGAGGAAGCCATGATGCCGTTGGTGTCCTAATTTTGAAGATCTGCCGTGTTCTGTTTGATAGGTCAGCCCACACTCAAGTCATGGGGAATTGAGCTTCACCTCCTGAAGGGAGAAGTTTCAAAGAACTTGTGGACATATTTTTAAACCACCACAGCTAGTATTGCCATGATCTATTTAAGCTGCACCTTTTCATATTCTGTTATTTTTGACTTCTTTGGTTCTGGAAAGGGTAGAGAGGTGTATGTGTTTCAGGAGATGTTCACAGTGGCCATAGAATCTTGGAGTTGATGATAAAAATCAGGGAAAGAGGAACCAGACTGATTCAGTGAATGCAGTTGCTGATTTCGCTGCTAATTATTAAGGGTGTGATACCATGTGCCATCTCCCTGGCATGATAAGGAGTCATCTTCCCACACATTTAAAGCCACGGAGCGGGAGGAGAAGCATTCTCCGTAGAAGGCTTGAGGGAGCCTCAAAGGATCATTGGGTTGCAAAGGTTTACAGAGGCTGCTTGTTCCACTTTGGCGCTTTTCATTATTCTGAGTGTTAACGGAATCGTTTTGAGTTGGTCAGCATATACATCACAAAGTAATTTCATTCTCAAATGAATCACGCGTCTATCTGCCTAACCCTCCCGGTCTGCGAGGAATGCCAGGTCTCTCTAACTGAGGAATTCTGATATGAGTCATGGTTTCAGAAAGTGCTTCAGAGCTGTTTAGCATGAGAGTTGTGCTTTGAATCTCGTTTAATGCTGTCCACCCGCCTGACTGCAGAGAAAGGCCTGTGGGTCTGGTCAGAGTTGGTTTCTCAGGTGCGAAGCTCGTCCTGAAGGGATTGGAGCGGTGCCTGTGGCAATCTGCCTCCGAAGTAGTGGTGTATTACCTCAAATTCCGGGCCTCGCAGCATGAGGAATTTGAGTTTGTGCGCTGTTGGGAGCTGTGGTAGACCAGGAGAGCTTCACTTCTCAAGGAGACCCTTGGGGGTCCCGCTGTGAGTCTATTTTCCTGTGGACTTGAAATGCTGGCCTCATACCAGTTTGGTGCCTTGGCTTATTATTCATCCAGATCTTATTGTTTCAGAGGCTCATGTGTTCACCTGATGGCGTCAGAATGTTTCTGGCATTAGATCTTTTTGCTATTGTCAAACGGCACCCCTACAAGAGACCAATGGCATTAGATCTTTTTGCTATTGTCAAACGGCACCCCTACAAGAGACCAATGACTTGGGGTCAGTGGCACAGTGACCACGAATACCACAAGAGGGCGCCTCTGACTGGGGTCAGTGTAGACATTCTTCAGTAACCCTCTGTGAGAAAGCAAGTGAACTGACCCACCCTGTTGTCTTCTTCCCTGTAGGCCTGGCAGTCATGCATTCCCAGAGTACCAATCAGCTTGATGTGGGGAACAACCCCCGTGTGGGCACCAAACGCTACATGGCTCCTGAAGTTCTAGATGAAACCATCCAGGTGGACTGTTTCGATTCTTACAAGAGAGTTGATATTTGGGCCTTTGGTCTTGTCTTGTGGGAAGTGGCCAGGCGTATGGTGAGCAACGGTAAGTATCTGATCTAACGTAGTAATGTCCCTCTCCGAGTCCTCCTGATTCTGCTGTCTTTAAAAGGGCAAAGGAAATATTTAAATCTACATTGTTCCATGAATCATACTTATTCCTTGAATCATACATCAAGCTATCAGCATCTATATTTGATTTATGGCTAGTAGGTGGAATGTAATGGCATTATATTTTAGCTACACAAGAGGAAATGATGGTTGAAAAAGAAGAATATTTTGGGCTGGGACATCTGCTCCTGGCGCCGCCTCCCTGGTGCTTGAGTATAAGCCCCCAATAAACACTTAAAAAAAAAAAGGGTATTTTTGGAAAAGACTAGTTATTCTTTGGCTTTTCTTTTGATTGGTCCATATTTCGTTCCCTCCTTTCTTCATCTTCCTCTCCTGCCCTTCCTCCCACCCTCGCTCCTCCTTTGTTCTTCTCACAAGTGAGATTTAAGATGAGAAGAATGCTTAAGTAAATCTAAGGGTGAATTCTGCTATTTTAGATATTTTTACTTCTTAAATTTAGTTTATTGAGAAAAGAATCAGGTTGCCCACTCAGAATTCACCTCTTTGTAAGAAGCAGGCTGTACCTTCTGAATTAGTCCAGTTTAAATTCGGGAAGCCCGGGGTAAGCTAATGCGGGTCCTCTTACAAGCAAGTTTTATGAAATGGTGTTATCTTAGCAGTTAGAGAAGCATAGGTCAGTCATTATTAACCTGTGACCCCTATGGTAAACTCTTACTTACTCTTGACTTTCATATATCCACGTCAGCCACAAACACACTGTTGAACTTTACTGGAAGCACACTGTATTGTGAAACCATTGAGGATACTGTTGTTTTAAATTAAACATGCCCGCATCTACCCACAAAGTGGATGTTACAGCAGACCCTCTCCCATCACCTAACTAAACTTCTGTCTTCTCAACCGGAAGTCTCCTTTCAGAGGACATGTCTGAAATTGCTCCAGAAAAATAAGAAAATGCCATATATTTAGATGAATATATTATTTTCAAAAGATATTTTCCACTCCTAGGACTCGTTGGAATCCTGGACTTGAAGTATGAAAGAAATAACGTGTGAATTCTCAAGGATTGAGATTCTTGGGGCAATCATAATTTTCCTGAACAACATAGCCAGAGAATAGGAAGTTCTTTGAGGAAAGTGGGTAATTTACCATAGCTTTCGTGTGCAGTAATTCAAATTGGCATGCCTTCATGGTAGCTCATGTTGTTTTTCCCTTTCTTTTTCTCTGACAGCAGAGTGCATCTGGCTCCCATACCCTTAGAGAGTTCGTTAAAAGCAATGTTTTAGATTAAATGTAAACATACATGCGTTGTTACCTGACCGTTCTTTTAATTTTCTTTTTTCTTATCCTTCTTCTGATGGAGTCATGAACATTTTCTTGGTAATTGTTTCTCAATCATTGGGAGCTTACTGACTAGCACTTTGTGCCATCAAGTGCCTTGAGAATTATCTGCAACAGGGAGATTGTTTTGCTGATTTATGAAGTTCTGAACTTTGCCTGGAATTGCACATCGGCTTCCATTTGCTCACCCCCTCCCCAATAATCCTTGAGCATCTTGGAACTGAAAATCTGATTTTAATTTGTTCATTTTAACAAACAATTTAGAGGAGGATTGGCGTCATAATGAACCATGCAACACGGAACTTGCCCCAAATGAAGAGGAAACTAATACCCCAAGGCCAGGATGGTAGCAGTCCAGTGGCGGCTGTGCTGGAGCAGCTCCAAGCAAGCCTGCATGATGAAAGCCGAGCTTGGCACAAACGTGGGCTTTGGGCTTTGTAAGAATTCGTGTTGCAGGCACATTCACTGTGTCACAGGCATAAACCCAAGTGGCTCTGAAAGATCAGTTGCACTTACTAGAGGAGTCCATTTGAAATTAGAGTCCTCAGTTTAAAATTGAGCTCAACAAATGGTAGTTTGTATCATCTGTCCCATGTTTAACGTTATTTCGCCAAAAAAAAATCATAAAGAGTAGAGGAAGAGAGACTACTTTTGGCTGTTTGATTGGTTGATTGACTTCCTGTTACGTCATCATTGAGGTGGCTGTGGTTCCTAAAATTCTGTGGGTTGAACTTCTCTTCCGTGGTGTGGTTTGAGTTTTAGTGGGAGGTAAGGGTATGTTGTGTCTCATTTTAAGTCAGTTACTGTCCCTTGGCAGTGACTAATTTGATATTTTTCCCTTCTCCCCGTGGTCCTCCTCCTTGCATGAATGGTCACAGGCATGCGCATGCACACAAATGGAAATCACTTTATCTGGACTCAGAATAGGTTTGAACCCTTCAGGGCTTATTATTAATATTTCAGTCATCACTACACCAAAACAGAAATGAGTAGAGAGAAGAGAAATTTTGCCCTTATGTTCTAACTTCCACGAGCCTTCCCACTTCTCCTGGGTGCACCCCTGCATATGTTTTTGCCTCAGTTGTAATCACAGTAGAGATACTCTTCTGTATCATCTTCTACTTTCAAGTGTGTCTTTTAACGTTACATAGTCTGTTTTTATTTTACGTAGTCACATGATGTTTTTATTAGCCATCCTCATATTTCAGACATCCCATCTCTTCCATTTGGGGCCTGTAGTAGGTACCTTTGTTCACATAACTTTTTCATTGGGGGAATTAATTCTTAATCTGAAAACAAGTAGACCTGATAGGTCAAAGAGTGTGGAGGTTTTTATGGCTTGACACATATTGCCAAATTGCTTTTCATAAGAGTTGTACTAATTTACAATATCCTGCTCACCCCAGGGTGTGATGTACCTATTTCCCTTTCTTACCAGCTTTAGGAACTGTCATTAAAAGAATATATATTTTTGAAATTATTGCATATAAAATGTACCTCATTTAAATATATGAATATCTTATCTTAGGAAGGTCATTATAATTATGTGTCCTTTGAGTTTCTGAGTCCATGATAAAAATTGATGACCAGATAGTTCTGGAGCAATATGATCCTCAAGTGAACCATGAGTATAAAAATATGTTGCATTTAGTATTTTCATTGGAATGGAACATTTATTTGCTGCTAATAATGAACTTCATGCTGTTTCTGTACAGGAAATGAGAATTAAGTCCATTTGCACATCTGAAAACTTCTCAGTAGTGTCTTCTGGAATTTACTTCTTAGGTTTAGGTTGATACTGAATTTGGAATCGGTGAGAAGGAAAATGGTTTTCTCACCTTCCCTGTGTGAATTCTGTGTCAACCAAAGGAAGAGGTTTGTCTGGATCAATAGTTCTTCACCTGAGTATATGTCAGATTAGTCCAGAAACACAGAATGCTGGGCCCGCTGCCCCAGAATTTCTGATTTAGGAGGTCAGAATGGAGAACCTCCTTTTCTAACGGGGCCGCAGGTGATTGCCACACTCCTCACGGGTCAGGGACTATACTCTTGAGATTTCACATTGAAATGGCATCTGTGAGTCCTCCCAGGCGGGGAAATCGGCTGCCTCCAGGATGCTGACAGTCTGTCCAAACAGGATGCCATGATTTGTTTCCGATGATTTGCTTTAGGTGACGTTCCCTCCTGCAAGCTTAAGAGGGGTTCATTTCTTAAGAGTCTTGTATCTAGTCCCTGGCCTTTCTTTCTAGATTTTTGCTACTTGTCTGGCAGTATTCTTTTCCTCTTTTGATAGTTCTGTGGATATATTTGTGTCTGGTTTTTCTGGTTACCTGACTTCATTGTGGTGTGAGGAGAGAACTTACATGGGTGGACTTGCGCTGTTTAGCCTTGGTCTGATAGAAGACCTCTAGTCGCCCCTCCCAAGCGTCTCCCATAGTATGTCCCCTCCCCAGGATAGAAGTCCTTTCTCTGGAGCCTCAGCTGTCAGTGTTCTACCTTGTTAGGATCTCTATACGCAGAAACTATAGTTGTGTTGTTCTCAGACTGTGGTCATCTGCCCATGGATTTAAAAACCAGCGCATCTTGGACCTGAGCAGCATGAGCCCTGTTCACCTTCATGAAGCTCACAGTCTACCTATGTTTCATTGCAACTTAGTGTCAGTTTGTCATTTATGTGACAGGTACACTTCACTATCATCAGTACTCTAGAAAAAAGGCAGCATACTCAGATTGTATAGGCAAATACATTTAGAAGTTAGGGTAGATACTGTTCCTTTGTTATGTTTGGTTGCTAAAAAAAATACCTTGTTGGGACATGTTTTTCTCCGTCCTTGCTGTGGCTTTCCTCGGGGCTGGAGCACTGCGCACAGAAGCTGATGTGAATTAGCCCTCTGTGCAGCTGTGTGCTGCTGTTCAGGGGCCCTTCCAGGCAGTACAGTGTACTCCTTCACGTCTCAGGCTCTGTGATCGTACTCCCTGATTTGATCACTTCCATCAATTCCATCATTAAAAAAATATTGGTGGTAATAGTATTTTACTTTAGAGTTCAGATGATGAAGTGAGATAGCGTGTGTTGGGCACCTCGTGTGACTGGCGTGTAGTAAGTGTTCAGTAACAGAGCCACGGGTATTTACTGTTCATTGGCAATGAGTGCTGGAGGCCGCTCGTGTGCTTCTCAGTTGGCCTTCCTTCACCTCTCCTTATGCTGATCCTTCACTCAGATACTAACATTTGTTTCCCTCTTCACTTCCCACCGGAGGACTGGGTGGACACACTCTTGTTTCGCTGTTTCTAGCTTTGCTTATTTTGTGATGGCTTCCAGTGTTAAAACATAATCATAGAAAAATCCTTGCTGGCTTAGCTGCATCTTTTATGGGGTGAGGACTAGGAAATATTTGTTAGAGTAGGTTTTCCAAAGGATGTGTGTCAAACATAAACTTCTTCTAAGTAATCCTTGGGCTTACCAGGGAACTGCATGCACTTCCATTCCTAAGCACAATGGCCTTGTGTGTGGAAACCTGACAACTTTTATTTCCTGGACCAACTTAATATCCACCGTTTCATGATTTTATGTCACTAGTGTGTATTATATTAAGGTTTGAACAAAGGGAAGAGTCATCACATTAGGGAAAT